GAAATAAGACGGTATTGGGAAAATAAACACCTGACTGTATGTCATATCTCGGATCTCCTTTCTGTATGTCATATCTCGGATCTCCTTTTCTTTCACTAGGGTGGAGCCATAGATCCAACTTCTCAGCTGCTACTAAATTTAAGCCCTTGCAGAACATAAGAAATGAAAGTTAAAACACTGACCTTCTATGAGAAAAGTGTACCAAATGTACTAATTTCTTAACAAGCAATCTAAAGAGACAATCCTCTAAAAAAAAAAAAAAAAAAAGAGGGCAAGAAATTCAGGAAGTATTAAAGTGTTAATGAGGATGATGTTCATTAATTAAAGAAAAAAAACTTTCACAGAAGTCTCTAACTAAGAAGCCCTTGAGGAACAATTAGTTTTATTTTCCAAAAGTAATATTGATTTTATGTGTCTCCATTTCTAAATGAATACTTGATATCCACTGAATGGACAGCAGTTGTGWAAAATATCAAATACCTCTAACTCCAGTCCTTACGAAATGTCCCTAGACAAGAAGAAATAGTTCTGATGAAAGTAATTGGCCATTTTGGAAAACATGATACTTTATGTTTTGCAGCAGTACAGTGAAGTGATTTCAAGAGATGAGATTTTCCCTTCTTTAAGGCACTCAATTATATTTTTTACTGTCCTCTCCCTCAAATGGGCACTTCSCTAATCAAAAGCTGCTAATCTTGATGGGCAGATGATGTGTGAAGTACCATGCAATATATGTCAGACCCAATCATAAATTTTACGACAAAACACCTGCCATATCCCAGAGTTTTAAAAGGAAGAAACAAAGAAGAATAAAAACGCTTTTTCACACCACCTGCAACTTTTCTTTCTCATAATAAGAGGGGAAATAAAAAATCAAATAAAAAATAAATGTCACTGCTCAAAACTAGCTGTTCCATGAATAACCTCCTGTTTAATAACTTCCATAAAAATAAATTAACTAGGTTCTGCCTGTCATAAGCAACATTTAAATTGGATGCAAACTGAAGAAATATCTCTCTTCTACCACCAGTTAACCAAGGAATTTGTTTCATGACATTTTTTGGTGCATCTTAACAAGAAATATAAAGTGAAAAGAAAAATAATATGAGGGTAGTGTTTTGGGATTTTTTTTTGTTTTTTTTTCTTTGGGGGGGGCAAGGGTTTGGCTTGGTTTGGTTTTTGTAAGGGCAGGGTACAACATTTATTTAAAGACTAGTATTTCTTGTCATTTGAATTTATAAATACTCAGACATCTAAAAGTACAGTTGTATGGTACAACAGTCTGTCTTACAAGTGAAGAGAGACACAAAACCAAAAAAAACTTTATGTAACAATTAAAGAGGTCTCAATGAAAGGCCAATTTCACAAGATTTGGTTATTTATAGAAAATTTCACTCAATTGCCCCTTTGGACTGAGTGGTTTTGGGTTTTTTTCCCCTCAAAATTAGTGGAATTGGATAGTATTTTCTTGTAAATATAAACTGTAAATGTACCAATGGCTGAAAATTATTTCCCATCACTTTG